TGGGGATTTAGCTCAGTCTGAAAGTCCTGACTTCAATCTCTAGTACTGGGAAGAAAAATTCACATAATAAAGTTAAAATTATATAATCCTGGGGGTAGGGTCGCATTACTAGCTGCTAGCTATCCAAGATTTCAAGATCTCGTCGGTGTGATTACTCGGACCCCGGAATAAAACCCAAGGAAGCAAGAAATTAAAATTTGGGGAGCAAAGGCTTTATTTTAGGCCAGGCCTGGTGATACAGCCTCTGGTAGCCAATTTGGAGACTGCGCACCTGACAGCTAAAAGTCAGGGCTTTTATCTTGTAAATCCACAAAAAGCTGCAGGTCACACAATGTAAGGAGCCTTGGGGTGTGGCGCACTACAAAACAGAAACACAGCAATCAATCACATGTCGTGGGAAGAGCAAGATCAGGTAAGGGTTGTGCTAACAAGCAAGACTCCCTGCATACAAGCAAGTTTAGATAAGAAGAAATCCTGTTTTCCTCAGCAGAGAATAGTAGTCTAGCAGTAATTAACAACTCCTGTTAGCTTACCTTAGCATCACATCTGTTTTTTGTAGAGGGCAACAATGGTTAACATATCAAGTAGCTAAGATTTTACAATTCTTTACAGAGGAGAGCATTGATTAACATATCAATTAGGTCATCCAGAGGGGGAAGGGAAAAACACATATATAGTAAGGACAAGTTACAGGTATTGCTATGATATAAATATAACCAAGCTATTTTTCTAGAGTACAACATTCCCCACTGATTTTAGTCATTGAGTCAAATCATTGACTCATAGGGCATCTCCTTATAACCTTTTGTGTGTCTTTAAAATCATAAGCTTTTAAGATCTTTGACATAGTTTATCAACTTGTTTACAATAGGAGGATTAACATAGGTCTAGCAGCTGTCATTATTAAAATTGTTAACCAAACGGAGAAAGAAAATCAACATTTAAATTTACTCTGTTCTATACTAAGTATAAATACAAGTAACATTTTTTTTCTTTCCTGGCAGAGGCAGTTTATTTGGCCTCTTTGACCCCTCAGGCCTGCATCACTGGCTGGCCTGCAGCTTCACCCTGGAGGCTGCAAAGCTGGTGCCCCCCCCCCCACCGCAGCACAATGATATCACGCTCCTTGAGCTTGTCCCCATTCACGGGGTCCACCATGCCCTTGCGAATCAGCTTCTCCACACACTCCAGGGTCACCCCGGCGCCAGAGGGCCGCAGCACGGCGCATGACGCGGCGTTACTCAGTCTGTCCCGAGTCACAGCGCACACGGAGCGCTCACTGCACGTGATGAGCCCCACGCGGTCCACAGAATCCTCCAGTGGAGTGAAGCGCAGGGAAGTCAGGTCGGCCATGCGCAGGGGCTCACCAGACATGGGGCAGGTGACGATGCCTGACGGCTTCTCCAGCTTGGTGGCCTTGGCCTCGGGCGTCAGTGAGGGGGTCTGCTGGGCAGCGCCTGGTCCTTCTCCTTGTCCTTGCCAGGGGCCCCGGCACTGGGTCCGGGCTCGGTGTCATCTGGGCCCGCAGCTGCCTTGGCTGAGAAGGGGCTGAGGGGGCGGCTCACGATGGCCGCCGCCGTCTCCAGGAAGCGCGCACCTGGTCCTGTGCTGCTGCCCGCTGCAGCTGCTTCTGCTCCTCCCGCCGCGTGGCACGCTGCTTCTTAGGCCTTCATCTGCCAGGCAATCTGCCTCTTCTGGTGCAGAATGTACTCCAGGATGGCCTCACGCTCACACAGGTAGCCATCCGGGGTGACGACGGATCGTGGCAAGGCTGTAAGGACAGGCAGCAGCAGGCGAAGTCCTTCACGGCATCACGGCTGAGCTGGATGTTCTGGGTCCCCTAGCCAGAGGCCGCCGTGTCCTTCTTCTTCTCATGGTAGGTGTACACAGCGCCTGCCATGCGGTTCTTGCTCTGCTGTGTCATCCTGGGGACGAAGGGACGGTGAGGGCTGTGGCCACTGAAAGGGTTTCGGCCCAGACAAGACTCTGTAGTCAGGAAAGCCTCAACCGGAACCAGGAAGCCCCATCTCCCCCGGCCCAGGAAGTTACCTGTGAGGCCACCGTCCCGCCCCTGGGAATTTGCCTATGGCGCCAAACCTAGGACCAATGTGCTACCTGTGCATGCCTAATGCCCCCCTTAGGTTCCACCCCAAACCGAGGCTACTTATGTGCCTCACTCCACGTGTTCCACGGAGAGATTGCTGGACTCCAGCAGTGCGGGGTGCCGGTCATCTCTCTCCATGCTCTCAGAATAAAGGCCGCTTTTTGTTTTATACTTCTCATGTTTTCAAAATACTTTTCATCTTTTGGAAATAATCCTATTTGTCCCTATCAGCCACTCCTCAGAAGCAAAACTCATTAGTCTTCCTTTGAAAACAGGCTCCCCTAACCCTCAGCCCACCTCTCAAATTTTTTGAAGTGATCAAGCACAAGGCTGTGCTAGATTTAGATTCAGTTTGCCGCACGGCCAGCAGAGATATCAGTTTTTCTCTCCTGTGGGAGAATCTAAGAGACAGAGATAAGATTAGGAGGAGGAGACAGAATAACAATGAGACGCCGTTTTTTGGGCTCATAGAAGGAGTTCCTAGGAAAGAATGTTATGTTAGATTTGGGATAAGCAAAAGGAGAACAGTTAGACCAAATGGACTCACAAACAGACATACAAGACAAGAAACTCTGCAGCAAAATGGCCTTTGCTCAAAAATTGGTCTTATTTTGGGATCTGGAGGAATGTACAAATTGACTGCAGTCCAAACAAACACTCCAGAGTACTTACTTTTAGGTGTTCAGAATTGAGTCTGGGGTCTTGCTCCCATCCTGCATGAGCCCCCAGATGGGATAACTCAGACCCTGGAATAAAACCTAAGGAAGCAACAAATTAAAATTTGCGGAGCAAAGGCTTTATTTTAGGCCAGGCCTGGTGACACAGCCTCTGGTAGCCAATTTGGAGACTGCCCTCCTGACAGCTAAAAATGGGGGCTTTTATCTTGTAAATCCACAAACAGCTGCAGGTCACACAATGTAAGGAGCCTTGGGGGTGTGGCGCACTACAAAACAGAAACATGGCGATTACATGTCTTCGGAAGAGCAAGATCAGGTAAGGGTTGTGCTAACAAGCAAGTCTCTCTGCATACAAGCAAGTTTAGATAAGAAGAAATCCTGTTTTCCTCAGCAGAGCACAGAAGTCTAGCAGCAATTAAGAGCTCCTGTGAGCTTATCTTAGCATCACATCTGTTTTTTGTAGAGGGCAATAATGGTTAACATATCAAGTAGCTAAGATTTTACAATTCTTTACAGAGGAGAGCATTGATTAACATATCAATTAGGTCATCCAGAGGGGGGAAGGGAAAAACACATATACAGTAAGGCCAAGTTACAGGTACTGCTATGATATAAATATAACCAAGCTATGTTTCTAGAGTACAATAGTGGGTTTAATTTTTTTTTCATTTTTGGTAACCCAGATCTGCTGTAAACAAATTCTCCATGTTTTTGTATTTCCAAAAAGTATTCATTTATGCTCATTTTAAAAGGGTACTTGCACTTTCCATAGAATCCTAAGTGAACTTTTTTTAACTTCCTTTTAAGAATGTTAAAATTTGCATTCCATTGCCTTCTGTTTTGGCTTCTATTATTCGTGACATGAAATCAGTAACAATTATGATTTTGTTTGCCATTTCTTTCTTCTCTGGTTCTTTTTAAGAGCTTCACTTTGTCACTGGTCCTGAACAATGTCCTGAACAATCACTTGGGAGAACTGTTGAACGTTACTTATTGTAAAATAGACTCTTTCTCTCTCTTTTATGGTGATAAAACCAAGAAAAATATACAAAGTATTTTTCTTGAAGTCACAACCTTAAAAAAATTAAGCACTAAGATTTATTAGTCATTTACTATTATATTTATTAGGTTCTTTTTTTAAGAGAAAAATATAAAAATAACAATGAAGTTCAATCCCTGTACCAAAAATAATAATTATAATAAAAACAATGAAACAATTTCACAATAGGTTAGTAGGACAGTTCTTACTAGGTTCTTATCTGTACATGTGAACTCATTTAATCCTTCTGAGAATCTATCTGAGGTGGTTACTATGAACACTAACGAGAAAAGAGGCCTAAACCATTCAATAACTCTCCCCAGGCCACAGAGTACAAGATGGAATGGCCAGGTCACAAGCCTCAGGATTTAAACTTATTTACATATCTATACCAACATTACTCAGTGTGGCCTTCTGGCATAACAGCTTACACCAGGTGGCTTATGGTAAATATTCTGAGATATGGAGGCTGAAGATGCTAGACAAAAGGCCAAATCAGTGTCTGCTGGTGGCCCGTTTCCTATTTCCCAGGCAGCTACCTTCTCTGTTCATCTGGATATGAGGGTCTATCTGGAGTCTCCTTTACAAGGACACTAACCCCATTCATCAAGGCAAACTCCTCATGATATGACCACATCCCACTGGCTCCATCTCTTGTTACCACTGAAAAGATTTTGGCCCACACACAACACTGTGGCCCATAAAGCCTTAGAGGCAAAAACCAAGGAGCTCTGTCTTCCCCGCCCCTAGGAATTTGCCTCTGTTGCAAAAGCAATACCAATGGGCTACCTGTGCATCCCTAATGCCCTTTAGGAACCACCCCCAAACTAAGCTACATGTATTGCCCCACTCCATGTGTCCAACGGAGAGATTCCCAGACCCCGGGGAGAGATCACCACTCCTGGGGAGAGAATACCAGTCCCCAGAGGGTCGGGAACCCGGAGGGTCGGGGGGTCTCTCCCCACATTCTTAAAATAAATGTCATTTATATTTCAAAATTCTTATCTTTTCAGCCACGCCACAATTCTATCAACCATCATCTTGGGGGCTAGAATGTCAACATCTAAATCTGGGGAGGACATGCATGTGAAGAGAGTCTAGCTCTTTGCATGTAGTAACATAGTGTAATACCCTGACAACACAGTCCCCAACATGCACTATGATACATGGTTCTCTTTACTTTCGTTTTTTTCAGGTTCAACATTCTTTGGCTCTGAATCGTGAGTCACATCTACTTCTCCTTTCATTAATATAGTGACATAATGATAATTCTCCTTCTCAATGAAAGAATTTACCACGGAGGCAAAGTGGATATTTTTCAGGTGAAGTGCTGCTTCTTCCCAGGTTTCTCTTTGAGCGCACTCTTCCCAGGTCTCCCTGGAAAATGGAAACATCACCGTTTTCAATTCTATTAATGGAATTTTTCGCTGTGAAATTCTTGATTAGAAATTTATAAGGCAAACCAAAAGCAGCTACAATTAATTTATGCTTTAAAACAATAAATTAACATCTTGTATATCCTATATCCAATTAAGACCAAAAATCTACATATTGAGAAAAAACAAACACAAGACAAATAACAACCATTTAGGCAATCTGGCACTAATTCACAGGCTTGTGCCACTAGGGAGCAGCTCAGCATGTTAACGAAGAATACAGGCTTTGCAGCCAAGCAGGCCTAGGCTGGAACTTCATGTCTGTTACTTTCTATCTTGGACAAGTAGAGTGAAATATTACTTTCTAATTGCATCATAAATGTATCTAAATAGACCATGTGTTTTCTAGTAGCCTCTGAATTGCAGCTTATGCCTCAAAATTGAAAATAATGGGCTATGAGCCCTTATAAATTTTCTTGTTTATGGAAAAAGACCAAACAGATACCATCTGAACTTAAGGGTTTGCTAAGGAAGACCAGAAGAGTCCTTTTATCCTCACCCTGCCCAGGTACGTAAAAAAGACCAGAGATCTCTCAGAGAGGGAGGAAAGTTGTGAGTTTTCAGTTTAGTAGAAATGTTTTCTTTCCTCCCTGTGAGGCGCCAACTCTGCTCCCGTAAACCGAGTGAGGGAGGCACTCTAAGAGACTCAGTCCTAGAGACTGGGTGTGGCTCCCAGAAGGAGACACCGGGGTGTTACACCCCAACCCCTGACATAGTGCACTGCAGGAACTCAGAGGCCAACCATAGTGTACCAGGGCAGTGGAGACAGAAGGGTAAGAACTCTTGCAGAAATCTGAAATGTATCCCTAGCCGTTGCAGTTTACACATGGCTGTGTATTTCTATCTGGAGAATTTAAAAGGTAGGAGACAGGCTAGAGTAGCCTGTTAGGGCTGAGCAAACAAAAAGGCAGAGTGGAAAAGCCTCATGTCTAACTGGGAAGGGTAGCACCTGCCTAAAACCCCGCACCTGGGAGCTGGGGCAGGAGCAAGTTTGTGTCCAGCTGGAGCAACTTACTGAGACTTTGTCTCAAAAGCAAAAAAAATAAAAAAGGACTGGGGATGCAGCGCAGTGTGAAGGCCCTGCATTCACCCGCCTTCAGCTGCATGCTTTGGGCTAAGCAGATGCTACAGGAGGCTGCAGAATCTCAACAGGAAGAAAATGCAAAATAGCGTGTTGGAACAAGAACTAGGGCAGAGGAGTGATGCCACAAAAATCCAGACACCCACAGCAGGGACTTGCAGACAACTGACCAAGAGCCCCTGGGAAAGACAGCACCCACTTGGATAGCAGATACCACACACAGAGGGTAGAAAGGACAGCAGCCCTTGGTCCCCCCAAAACAGCTTGTCCCTACTTCCAACTCACTGGAAAGGGGAGAAAAGTCAGAAACAGCTGAGTGAAGAGAGCAGGAGGTGTACAAGAAGCCAAACAATGCCTCTACCTCCTTCTACATCACAGAGAGATCAGAAATGGGCAGACTAAACATTTAAATTGGATTGCATTTTTAAATGCCTGGAAGTGAATTGTGATGATAATTTATTTTAATAAGCAATATATAGAAAATAACCATTGAGGGAAAGAGAAGGAGAAAGATGACTCATATCTGAAGATAATGGCAGAACAAAAACATTTTCGGTTTGTTTTTTTATCACATTTAGCTCGCTGTACAGTTACAAAAAGTCAAGTGAAGGGTACCTATGAGGAGCACCATTATCATCCACCACTCAGCAAAAACTTCATTGAAGTTCAGTGCTGGCTATGATAACTCGAAAACATTATTAAAGTTCAATGCTGATTATGATCATACAAAAATTTCATTAAAGTTCAGTGCTAGTTATCATCATTTGAAGTCAGCATTTTCTTGTTTTATTTCTAGCCATCCCTCTAGTAATAGTGCTTAGTTTGTGATATACGTTTGACTAATTCTCACTAACAACCAACATAGTACAATATATAAAAGACTGTGTGGGCAACAGTGTGTGTGTGTGCATGTGTGTGTTACTGTGGACTGAACCCAACAGTGCTCTACAACCAGGGTGCACCCCTATCTCTTTGGATTTATTTATTTTGAAACAGGGCTGTCCATGTTGTGGTCCTTCCTGTCCTAGCCTCCCCCAAGCAGCTGGGACTTCAGATGTGTATACTGTGCTAAGCAGCACTTTAATTCTTAGTATTAAAAACGTTTTAAAAATGTATTCACTAATGGGTAACCTTGTCAGAAAACAATAAACTAATGATGCTTTTGTAAATGTTGAAGGCTCTATAAAAATTTCATGTAAAAGAGCCTATGAATCACATATGTCAAGAAGCACAAGTCGGACTGAAATGCACCAGGGTTAGTCCTTATTAACTGCCACTTTTTAAGAAATACAGGGGGACTGGCACATAGTAATGAAGGGATAAATTCTGCATAAGTAACTCACATTCATCAAAAGATACATGGCATGAGAAAAACAACGGATGAATGAGCACTGTTACACTGAGAGGCAATGCAGAGTGTGCTGTACGTGTGATCTCCAGTACACAGAACAGTGAAAGGGCCCTTCCAAGATAATGTGGCAGGACCTCGCAGACTATCAGGCAGGACTACCGAACTGTTGCACAGGAAAACGGTACTGTGTTTTAAAACGTGTGTACGTATACTGTAATAGGACGTTTGAAATTTCCTGTGAAACGGCATAGAAAGCCAGTGTGTGTTCATGCGTGTGTCTCTTCTGGGTCAGTGAGGGACAGCAATGAAAAGGCAGCTGAGGGGTGGTGAGGATTTGCTATTTTCTCCGTTTTCATGTAGCTTTGAGGTTTATAGACTCAGTACTAAAGGAGAAAGCACAGCTGCAGGCGATGCTTTATGCTTTTACTGTTATTAATTTTAACCTTACTCCCACTTCAGAATCCACTTTCAGCAAAATCTCAGGCTTTCTGCCTCTTGTGAACTGGCCAACTCTTCGTGCTCCTGCTATTCCCCCATCCCAGAGCGCCTAGGCACAAAGGAAACTTGGATACTCGTCCAACGTTCCCATTTTAAAGATGCAGACACTGCGGCACAGTTCGCCCAGCTCATCTGCTTGGTGAAAGCGCAACGCGGCCAGCAGACGAGGCAGAGGAGGAGGGATGGACGGATGAATGGAAGACAACGCGGGATTGCTGTTGGTGTAGAAACACCCGTTTTTTTCCTCTCGGAGGTAAGCACTAAAAACACAAAGCGACTCCCAGGCACCGCCCAGAAAGGGCGGAGCCCGCCCGCGCAGGCCACACCCGCGAGACCGCGGCGGCCTGCACAGCGCCCCCGCCGGCCTGCGCCTGCGCAGAGGAGCCCGGAAGCGGGCGCGCGCACGCACAGCGCGGGCTCGTGCCCGGCACGTTCGGTCCCTCGGCTGCTGTGGAGATGCTCACCCGAACTCCAGGTGACCTCCGGGAAGCTGGAAGCTGCCGGCTCCAAACGACCCCTTCCTCTTCCCCAGCAGGACGCAGCGGGGATGCTCGCTGCTGGTCACCACCACGCCGACCCCGACCCCGGGCCGACTCACCGGGGGCGCGGCCGAGGCCAGAAGTTATGTACTGCTAATAATTATCCTTTCACTATTTTTGCTCATAACTATCTTTTAATTAACTCTTTTAATTTTTCAGCATCTTAGTATAACAGTGAGCTGTAGAAGGCTGCATGCTGAAAGATTCCATTCAGATGACCTTCTGGAGTGAACCAAACTCAACACAGAATGCAGATCAGTGTTTGTCTGGGACTCGGGGTACAGGGAATGGTTGACTACAAAAAGACGCAGATACTTTCTTGGATGAGTGAGTGGTTCTGTGTGTTGATTATTGGCGGTAGTGACTATGTGTAACTCATACAGCTGTGTATCTTAAGGAGCAAATTTTAATATAGATGACAGCTTTTAGTCACAATAGAAAAATGCTGTATGTATTTGCAATAAGGAAAAGTCAGGATACAGTTCAGCACTGAAAAGCACCACGATACAGCACAATTTTATCGCTCTACTTAATATAAAAAGTTGACATCAATGTGGGTGTCTTTGAAGATTATATTTCTGAGGAGGCTAGCATTAGGCCAGGGTAATGGCGTGGCAACTTTTTTGTTTTGTTTTGGTTTGGTTTTTGTTTGTTTGTTTGTTTCTCTTCTCACTGGATTCTGGAGTACTTCAGACCTGGTGATGGACACACCCACAATCAGGCCTACTAAAGAAATTCAATGACGTTTTAGACTGTTCCTGAAATATAGTAAGAAATTAAGGGAAAAGAAATGTGAGAGGTGAAGACAGTGTGTGATATTAAAGAGAAAAATTTAGTAGTCAGTTTCAATTTCCCTTTATTGCACTCTAATTCCACTCTATTATCCCCAAACCTGCAGCAAAGTCTAGCTACCTCTGCTTTTAACTGTGCTTTGAAGAGTTGGGTGCGGATTTACCTTCACATAAAGGAACAATAAAAAAGTAGCATCAGCCTAGGGAGGTTTTGAGGTCAGTGAAGAGGTCTTTGATCTCAGCGTCCTTTATCAGCAGAACTGCAACTAACCCTGGGTGCTTTATAAATGAAGGCTTCAGTGAAACCTAACAGTGTAACAAAACAATTTCAGTGTATGTACCCAAACTAGAAAATGAGTTTCCCTGTAAGCCTTATGATATAGGTAAGCCTTATGAGATACAAATATATCACATTAAACAGTTAGGAAGTTAGGAAGGAAAAAAGACACTGAGTTGATGTTCATGAATCAGCTAAGAGAAATACAAAATGTTACTTATGCTCTCCTGTCCAACTCCAGAATTTTTCCAAGAATGCATCCTTTTCCTCTCCTTCTCCACACCATTCACAGAAATATTATACTCTCCATCTGGAAGATGCTGAGTTCCCATCAAACTGGCAATTTTTTCTTGCTTGTTATACCCTTATTTTAATGACAGTTGATTTGTTTGGTGTATTTTCCATGTCTCTTCTATTTATCCTAGTAAGTCAGCTATTTACCTAAAACTTAACTGATCTCAGTTCACAATTTACAGTAAACCTAAAAATATTCCTAACAATTGATGATAATTAGGTTTTCCTCTATATTCCTGAAAAATACCTAAGAAATTGTTGGAAAATAAGATGAAGTGGTGCCACTAACTGCTTCCTTCAACCATAATGCTTCCTCAGGAGCTGATCTGAGAAAGCCCACCAGGTGGGATCCATTCCTCCACTCCACCCTGCCCTGGGCAAAGCAGTGCTGACCAGATCTGGTTTGTTCATCCCTCACTTAAGCTTCTGGTTTGAGCTCACCTAGTTTCTATTTGCTCTTTCCTCTTGGTAGTCCGTGTGTTTGAAATTTGAAGTTTCATGTACTCAAAACCTGTTTTAAAATTTTATGTAGTCCTCTGTGGTACCTATTGTAGCCAAATCACAAATGTAAGTCACACTGCCACTCAGAGGTCCAAAGAACTGCCCTCCTCAGTGCTCTTTATCACTGGTTGATGGAATTAACTCAATGCCAACATTGTTCCATGTGAACTGATCTAACATGTTCAGTCAGCTTTCTTCCCAGTGTGCTTCTTTACTTAGGATGTCCCGTATGTATGAGGCTTATGTTTGTTTTAACTCGGGCCCCGGTATAAAATCCAAGGAAGTAAGAGACTGAAATTTGGGAAGCAAAGGCTTTATTTTCAGGCCTGGCCACGGGTCTCCGGGAGCCAATTTGGAGACTGCATGCTAGAGACTGAAGGGAGGACTTTAAAAAGAGGCTGGAGGAAAAGAGGCAGGGGGAGAAACAAAGAAACCTGCAGAGCCATCAAACTTGTTGACCCGAGTCTGGAAACTGTATTGCTGTCCACTTAGCTCTGACAATCTCGGGAGTTCCTGGTGTTTCTCAAATTACTCCCATCCTACAGACTGACATTATCTCGGAGTGGCACATCTGCAGCAATATTTGCTAAATCAAATATGCTAAATCAAAATATAAAAGTGTAAAATAAAATGTGACTGAAGCAACATTATGTGGCATAGCGTGAAGGCCCTGGGCCCAATGTGTAGCAACACACAGACACACACAAAACTAATTATGGTCTTTCTTTTTAGAGTGGCACCGTTTGATTTTAAAGCCTATTACCTCTCTACACAAATATTTTGAGTGTTAGAAATTAAGTATTATAATAGCCCATTTCTTGGTGTTTTTTCTCTATATAAATCCTCCCTCATTAATATATATTATATAATATTTTAATATAACATTATATAATATAATATATTAGCTGGTGGCATTAAAGGTGCCATTAGCTCCTTTCTTCCCTACGCCTTCACTGAGAAACAGAATTTAACTTCCCTTCTTTTGAATCACGGCCACCTGTAGTGGTGTTCTTGTGTAATAGAATATGACAGAAGTTAAAGAGGAAGAGGTTTGTTTTGTCCCCTAGTTGGTAGATGTTTCAGTTCATGGTTGACTGGCACCAAAACAGGGTGACACAGTGCAGGGCATGGGAGAAGAGAAATAGCTCATGGCATGGCTGCAGGAAGAAGAGCCCTGTCAAGGAGAAGGGGAGGCTCACGGAGACGTCTAGGCCACATCCCCAGTGACCCACCTCCTCTGATCAGGCTGCACCTCCTAGCATCGCATTTAGCTATAATTTCATCAGTGAACTCAGTCCGCTGATGAATATCAAGCCCCATAATCCAGTACCTCCCCTAAGTCTCACCTATAAGTGCATGAGGCTTTGGGGTGGCATCTAGATATAAACCATAACAAGTTTACATATCTTATCCCCTAGGAATTTCACAGATTTAGAATTCAGTCCACCTCAGGGATCTATAACCTTGTAAGAAAGCTTTCTTTATTCATCCTGGTGGCTGCCACAAGATTCCATATTATTAAGAAGTCGGAATCCAAAGCTTCCTGCAGATTGGGCGTAAACTCCTCTCTGCCTGGGCTCATTTCATGTCCTTCCAGGGCTCCAAAGCTCACATTTGTCTAAGGAATAGCTTCAAGGAAGTTTGCGGAGTGGTTTGATGTGAGGGCCGGTGCTTTGGCTGAGAATATGTCGTGTCTGTTTCATCACTGCTGTTGAGAAAGTCACCTGGCGTCTGAGGGACACTGTAGCTGCTCATGCTTCGTCCACTGTCTGTGCTCCTACCTCAAGAGTGATAGGGGCCGTGCTTAAGAAAGCGATCTGAACTATCTCAGTCGTCATTGCTCTTAGTTCCTGGGACATCCTGAAAGAAGGTGCTGGGTTTCGAGTCCCACTATCTTGCTCCAGTCTTGGTAACTGGCTGTGGAGAGCTAATTCCTGACCTTTTGGGGAATTCGCTGTGCTGGAACTGATATTCCCCATTGCCTGCAGAAGCCGTTCTAGCTATTTCAGCTGGGGTCTCCTTCTGCATCTGCTGTTGGCGGAGACACATGTTGCTGCTGGTTGGAGTTACTACCACCTAGAAAGTCTCCTTGTGGTTCTAGGGAGCAAAGGAGGAACACTCTGATTGATTCTGTGGTTCATGGTTTTCCCAAAATAATGGTCAAAATCTTGGGTCCAGACATGAGGAGATCTTGTTCTTATGGTTTGTGATAGAATTGTGGCACGGCTGAAAAGGTAAGAAGTATGAAATATAAATGACCTTTATTTTAGGAATGTGGGGAGAGAACCCCCGACCCTCCAGGGTCCGGCATGGTCCCCAGGGGTGGCAGTCTCCCCGGGGTCTGTCAGTCTCTCCATCGGACACATGGAGTGGGGTATACACGTAGCTTAGGTTTGGGGTGGAGCATAAGGGGCATTAGTGATGTGCAGGCAGCATTGGTATTCATTTCATGCCACAGGTAAATTTCTAGGGGTGGGGAACATAAAGCTCCTTGGTTCTGCCTCTAACTAAGGCTTTACTGGCTACAGTGTCCAGCCTCGGGCAAGTTTTTTTCAGTCTGTGTGGTAAATTTCTCCATCCTGAAGGATTGCTTGTTCCAATCCATCAAGGAAAGGACCTGAGTGAGGCCTCGTTCACCAAAGTTTGCTGTGCTGTGGGGCCCTAACACTCATCTGAGGAAGCATGGCCCTCCTGGATCCTGCTATGTTGTCTGATTGATATGATTTAAGAAGTATCTCTGGCCAGAAGATGGCTATCTCCCAACCTCCCCGCAGAGGTGTCATCAGGTATCTCAGCAGAAGACTGTCAGAGATGTTGAGCAGTGGGTGGGTACAGCTGCTGGGCCATCGATTCCTGGTGCTGGGCAGTCATTGTCCCAGGAGAAGCAGCTCCCTGCTTCAGGAAACCTGTAAAAGATTGAGCTGGAACATGTTATGCACTCAGCACTCCTGCAGTGCCTACATTTGTGCTCCCGCAGCTTGAAGGACTTGGGCAGATTCCAGGGAGCCTCAGAGGCACCTTAGCTGTCTTGGGGTTTGTGACAAAGTTGAAGAGGGCCTCCAGGCTAGTCTCAAGCATCTGGGACTTGCAGGACCTGGTGTCCGGCAGGGGTGGGGGGTGCTATGGTACTGGCTTGTGCACTGTGGGAGAGGGAGCAGGGTTAGGGTAAAGGTGAGGGGACTGCTGCTGGGCTACTGCTGGCTGTGTCCCTTATCTGCTATTCCTGTAGCTTTAGTAGTCAAATCTTTGCTTCATTTTAAAAAGGAGGCCTTCTGTCTTCTATTTTGGAGTTCTTTATATATTCTAGAGGTCATTTATCACATTTCCCCCCAGATATTTTGTTTCTATGTGTAGCTTAAATTTTCATTTTCTTAGTAATATCATTTGAAAATCCAAACAACCAAGAACATAAATGAGCTGTGTGAGCAAAGATCTCTGATCACCATGTACCCTAGGACACCTCCACTGGTCCACATCTATTACTATGTAGCCAAATAGTAGGAAGATGAAAGCTCAAGCTGGGTCGATGGCTGCATTATGTTTTAAACCCAGAGTAAATGATGACTTCTTTACAGACTTCTTCAAAGCTTGCCATTAAAGATTGGCAAATTTTCCCAATGGGCACAGAACTTTAGCCATTCATTTGGGTGGGAAGGAAGGTATCCCAAAGGTAGAATGTAAAGTTTGACTCTATATTCAGACTTATGGGCAGTGGTAAGTAGCCTGACATACTGGTCATGGCACTGAAAGGACAAAGACAGGCGGTTTAGAGAAAAGGAAGCCTGAGAACCTTTACCCTGACTAAGAGACAGAGGTGTGACAGGCTGTAAGGAATGATCCTATAGGATCACTTTGCTACTGCAGGCAAAGGCAGAGGAGAGAGGGCAGTGAGGAGGAGGTGTACAATGGTGGTGGCTTGGGAAATAGTAGCACTACTGTAATTATTGAGACTTGTTGTATTCTACATTAAAATGCAATAAAATTTTCTATTGTATTGGATATGTGGGAAAGTATGGGACTGGAAAGCAACTGGAAACGTATAGGTAATGTTTATTTTAAAAGGAGCATATTTGGGAAGGAAAATTGGGGGTAAGTCTTGACATGGTAAGCTTGAACTGCTTAGTTCATGCTTAGACACATATAGGTGATGCTTGCTGGGTGGTGAGCAGCTGCTGAATAACTGAGTTTAGAGTTCTGAAGAAAGAAGGGTTTGAATTGGAGCTATAAATGTGAGTATCATGAGCGTATTGATGATATTTAAAACCAGGAGAATAACGAGCTCACGATGGGCATGAGTGGATTTAGAAAAAGAAATAATTTTCAAAACCAACAAAGAAAATAAGATACCAAGAATGTGGAAAAAATATAAAGGAGGATACTTTTCCAGAAACCAAAGTGTTTAAATGAGTGATGAACTGTGTCAAATACTGCCAAAGGCCAGCAAACTGAGACCAGTGAAGTGATCATTTGATTTAGCAGTGTAGCAATCCAAGTAATTTTAACCAAAATCAACTCAGGGGAGGTAGAAGACTCTTCTGGTTTATTACAGTCATAGAGAATTATGACTGGATTGTAACTAGGGGGAGGAATAAGTGTAAAGAGTTGAAATCTTAAAGGAACAGAGATGTATTAATCAGGTTAAAATTAAGTTGTAACAAAACATCAAAGTGGCTTAAAGAACAAAGAAGTTTATTTCTTTTTCTTATGTAACTGTGCCAGTGTGCAGTATACCTTGAGACCTCTAGGTGACATTTAGTTTTTTGAAAATGTTTGTAGGCAGTGTTAATTTTTGTTCTGATTATCAAGAAAGCTAAGAAACTGCTTAAGAGTTCAAAATCTGCTTACTGCAGTCCTTTAGAGACGCACTGAAGGACATTTACCAAATAATTACTGGCTGCCACCTGAGCATTTCAGAGGCTGAGGTAAATTCAATCCCTCTTATACAAAGGCCTTATCTTGTTGCTTTTTCATATGAAGAAAAGCTTAGACTCATGTTTCTTTTGCATTGAGACCCTGTTTCATGTCAAGTTGGGTGAATTAAAAAAGTAAGACAAACCCCTCAGAAGTTCTGCAACAGTTTGTTCACTAAAAAGTTAAAGAAGCAGTTATAGTAAGACTCCAAGTTTGTGATAAAGCTTTTGAAGCTATAAGACGCCTGCTTGCAGAGGTACTACAATAAAGTTGGTATCTCAGCAAAGTCCTAGTCAACTATATCTGAGCTAAGCCTTGGGGACGGTTCATCCAGAAGGCTTGTCTGCTTTATTCTTAGAAGCCTCAAATGTGCCCTTTTAGCATAAATCAGGAGCAGTCAGCCAATCAAGGCAGAGAGTGAAAAGAATAATAGAAGGATGTGGTATAATCACATGGAGTAGAAAAAACTGTAAGAGTCATCAGTGTATTTGAAGTTCAAGGAGTACATGTTTGTCATGGTTGAACAAGCATTCTAGCAAAGAAATAAGAAAATAGAAAATGAGATCTATAAATATTTATATAATACAGGAGAGGTATATGCATGTAACTTTGAAAAAACTGAAAAATGATAATCCCTTCTTGGAAAAAGATTCCTGTATAAGAAGTACTATAATAATGCCAGTTTTTTGAAAGAGCAAAATTAAAACCTAAAGTTTAAGAGGAACATAGGAATTCATAGAAGTGGGATTCCAAAGAAAAAGGTGGGGAGTGTATGGCCCAATCTAGCAAGTCTCAATTGTTTTCGTCTTGGTTTCTGTTATGGCTTCTATCTAAATGTCCCCCAAAGTTCCATGTCCTCGTGGGTGGGGCTTTGGGAGGTGGCTGGATCATGTGAGTGATCCTGGGGTTTAGGAAGTGGGACTAGTCATAGTCCTCTGTTTAGAGTTAGGGTAGTTCTGGGATCTGCTGAATAGATTTACTGAAAACAAGCCCCTCGCTGTGTGGCTGGCTGGCCCAAAAGGTGTGTACCCAGCTGGGATAGGAGGCAAAGGCAGGCTTGCTGCTTGCTACCTCACCACATGAGCTGTTTCTCTTCTGTGATGCCCCTGCCCTGTCGCCTGGCTTTCCAGCCAGCTGATTGTGGACCGAGAGCTTTACAAACTGTAAGCCAAAATAAGTTTTTTCCTTTAACTGTGGGTGTTGGGTATTTTTGCCTCAACAATGAGAGACGTAATTAACACAGCTGCCAAAACTCTTAAAAACTACAGAGTTGTTATAGGGTGATCCTCGTGTTAGAAATTAAAACTGGCCATGCGCGGTGGTGCACTCCTATACAGCTGTTCAGGAGGCAAGAGAATCACAAGTTTAAGGACAATCTGCAGTATTTAGCAAGACCCTGCCTCAAAATAGCTGGGGAATTAGCTCAGTATTAGGGGGGTCCCTGAGTTTGATCCTCAGTATCCCCACCCCATAAACAAAAAGTAAAACTGAAAAAAATTCATCAGGTAGCTGAACTAGGAGGTTGTAAGTTTGATATTTAGCTTGGTTTATATTCTGAAATCCTATCTCAGAAACAAAAAAAAAAAATTGAAAATGAGCTTAAACTTTCATTAATCATTTACAGATAAAAATCCTGTGCGTACTATAATTTTTTTAAAAAATCTGTTTCTGAAAATATTATTCATTAGTGAGAAAAGTGCCACTGATATTTTTGCAAATCTCTTTAATGTCTCAACAGAAGAAAACTGGATTCCCATTTCTGCTTTTATATTCTGACACCATGTATCAGGCAGAGTCTAGAAAACGTGTGTGTATGATGGTGAAAGGATGAGAGTGGAAAAGTTAGATGAGGTTTTAGGGTTATAAAAGCAGGTATCTTTGGCCTTGAATACCCTGAAAGGCTCTTGAGGAGTCCTACAGCCCACACCGGGAGAACTGCTGCCCTGCCCTAGAGCAATCCCTGCCTCTTCTGTACAAAGACACTGGGTCTCGGGCAAAGTGAGGCACTCACAAAGCCCTGGCCTGTTGATGTGGGACCCAGATCTTAGGTGGTTTGTCTCACTTCTCATAGTTTAGGGTCTCACCCAGAAATCTGGGAAATATATAGCATACTGACCTGGCCTGTTCTTACTAGTTGCAAATTGTTACAATATATTGCCAGTTCTCTTAAAGTAAACAATAAAGAATGAACGAAAAATCAACAAACATGAATTCTGTAACAGGCAGTGGTTTAAATCTGCATTATGAGACCTGAGTGGGGGATCTCTATTTTAACTGGAACACTAGAGCAGATCCTATTGCACTCTGCCCGGTGTAATGATAAACCACACAGTGATCACAGATAAATTTGGAAAACAGATTAACCACAATATCTCTATTACATATTTTGTGCCTGAAATACTGTTCAATGACATGTTCCAGAAATATTTTTCTTGAGGTAGTGGGTATTAAGAGAATACAAATAAACCAGATTCACATGTACCTTTTTCAATAAAAATGGGAGTTTTCAATATTTTCATTCTTTAACTTGACCTTATTTTTGTGTGTTTGTTTTTTTTTTTTTTTTTGATCAAAGACTCTTCTTAGTCATGTAGAGATGATTGCCTTTGTATCCTACCAGGTGGTTCAGATCTTCTTTAAATGGATCATAGCCTTGCTCCTTTAAACAACGCAGTGCCCAGAAAAGCTGGTCCAGTGGAGGGAATTCTTCCCATGGGACCCACTCCCAACCTAGAAAAAAAGAGGCCACATTCATATGGTTAGCTGGCAGTAAACAGGAATATTTATTTTGATAACATATTTAGAAAAAATAACTAAATTTAAGTGATTTGTAATTAATAAACCCCAATAGTGATGCTTTGTAAGAACTTATACAAATATAATTTGAATTTAAAACAAAGATCTTAAGAAGAGAATGGTGATGACATAAAACACTGTGTTATTTGGATAGGAAACCAAGTTTACAAAGACCAGACAGTGATAAGAAAAAAACAAAACAATACTAGGTATTATTCTAGTTATTATACAGTGTTAATTTAAGTTGTTAAATATTTGTCTAAAAGTGCAAAGAATTTTGTATACTATAGGCTGTACTAAAAATAAACCCTGTTTGACTATGAAGGAACCTCTGGTTGTATTGGAAAAGCTCATATTCACAGTGCTCAGAAGCCAAGATAACACCAAAGCTGAGACAGTGGAGGACACAGGCTGCTGACACTCCCTCATCCAGAGCAATCAAGCTGCCAACCTTAGAGATCAGTGCTCTTAACTGGTAAGATTGACAGCCTTGTTTCTCAAGGTCCTGGCAATTTCACAGGATTTTGCTTCCACTGTGCCTTCTACTTCCTGAAGCCCCCAAATTGTGAAAACCCAATAATATGATTATCTAGAAGAGTCCTTGTCTTTACTCAGAGAGAGTTCTGGACTCCCCACAAATCACATTCCATTGTCTTTCTTATTTAAGCCATTTGCTATATACTCATTTTAGGAGACTAGGGATCTTATTAGTCCCCAATAGGGAATGATGGCACATACCTATAATCCCAGCATTTGAGAGGCTGAGACAGGAGGATCACCACAAGATCAAGGCCAGCCTTGGCTCTACAGTGAGTTCAAGGCCAGTCTCTACTACATAGAGAGATCTTACCTCTCTCTCTCTCTCTCTCTCTCTCTCTATATATATATATATATATAGAGAGAGAGAGAGTTGAACATAGGGTATAGGCATTCAAAAATGAACACATGAATAGATATACTCGAATAAATTGCAATTAAGGTTATAATGTTAGGACAGAATCTCAGAAGAAAAAACAGGAGGTGAATGTTCCCCAGTTTATACATTTAAGCCAAAAAATTTTTTCTTTTTATATGGTAAGACTGTGTTCATTGCTATAGAACATTTTCAGAACGCAATCATTTATATACATACTTATAATATCGTATATATCAATATTCCAATTATCATCAAACAAAACTGAGAAACAACAAAACTGCCTAGAATTAACCATCCAAGAAAAATTTGTTGAAATTAAAATTTAAAAACAATGACAGCATTAATCACTTAGCTTTGGCCAGACATGGTAGTACACACCTGGAATCCCAGCACTCAGTCGGCCTGAGGCAGGAGGATTGCCACAAGCACGAGGCCAGCCTGGGCTATAGCTGGGCTATAGTAAGTTCAAGGCCAGCCTGAATTATACAATGAGATCCTGTCTTCAAAAACCAAAAAATAAAATAAAATCACTTAGTCTTGTCATCATACTTCACACAAGCAGACGCTTCATGTTTATTAACTTCAATATTTAAGTAGGCCTGAAGTTTCAAAACATGACTTCCAACTTATGTATAGTAGGTAAATTTGCCTTATACAATTTCTTACTTTTAGGAGGTGCTCTAAGGTTTTTGGTGTGTGGAATTTCATTCTCAAACAACGGTAAATGTTAGATCACGGTGTTCACTCTTGCATGGTGGCTGCCCTCACACTGAAGGGTGTACTTCTTTTCCTAATTTTATGTGGCCCAAACTCACTGTGCAGAACCTTTTCCCTACTTTTAATAAAACTTACTTTCCTTTAAAACAAAATAAAGAATTTTGAAGCTTAACACAGTGGTATACCCAAGTAGTATTTTCCCAAGGTAATACATATTCATTAAACAATTAACTTCTCATTGAAAAAGATTTTTCTCCAAGCTAGAGACATCTAATAAAGCTGTGATTACTCCTTTAAATTCTCAATGAATCCCTTCAAGCAAGCCCACTTGCTTCCAGTGGTTAACTGAGGCTTTTCATCTATGCAAAATTGCTTTCCACTTTACAGACAATATTAGAAGAGCAAGATTTGAAATCAGATCCTTCATGAATGACACAGGGAGAACATTCAAATTTGGACTAAAGCACTACTATGAGTAGTTATGGTCTTTGAGCCTGACATGGTTGAGAGCTAGGTCAGATACTGACAATCATCAATAACTTTATAAAACTTTCAAACTAGTTATATAAAGGAAGAAGCATTTAGGTGAAGAATTTAAGAGAAAAAAGTTGGATTCATGTGACAAGAATGATAGAGGTAGGAAGATGAACTGACATGTTATAAAAATGTTTGGTGGGTTTTTGCAGTTATTTTGTTTGCTTGGGTCTTTGTTTTGTATATCTTTTTTTGAGACAGAGTCTCACTAAGCAGTGCAGGGGCTGGCTGGAACTTGCTATGTATCCCAGACTGGCCTCAAACTCACTGCACTCTTTCTGCCTCAGCCTCTGCAGTACTGGGATTACGGGCTTGCAGCACGATGCCTGGCGGTGTGGTGGGTTTAAAAAAGAAAACTCTTAAAGGTGTAACTCTTCAAAAGCTTCCAACTTTCTTGTTGCTGGGATAACATTTTTGACATCTGTGATTTAAAAGAGAAGAAGTTTATTTCTGTTCACAGTTTCAAATGTTTGAGTCCACACTCAGCTCCTTACAGCAGAAAGGCAGGGCAGATGAACACTGTTCCACTCATGGCATCCTGGGAGCACAGAGCAAGGAGACCCTGAGAGGGCGGCCGAGGTCCACACACTGTCCCCAAGACCACACTCCCACAACCGCTTCTCCAGCGGTGCCCCCCATCCTAAAGGTCCATTCAGCTCTGCACACACCGAGAGGTTAACTGTTGGAGTTCAGTGTCCGTGCAGCCCAGTCACCTCCCCAGGCATCTCTGCTCTTCATACTGTCTAGTCCACAATCAAAATTAACTGGATAATTTACTTCCTCTAGAATTCTTAATTTTTCTCTAATTCAACTTTATGGGGCTGGAGCAAACGCCCTGTAACACAGATAAACAGTTGATATATAACAAAGTGCATCTACTTCAAGGATACAATCATTTCTTTATGAATCACAAATCTATTCCTAAAGATTCCTAAAAATCACAGTCTCATACAAATCCCCACAGCTGAAAGGGAGTAAGCACTTCCTAAGTTAGCCCATCAGACCAATGTTCCTCAAATTCTCAAACTGAAGTGACACAAATACTCCACAAAAAATATTAGCAAACTGAAGCCATCTATATCAAACAGTGTGAAGGGGATTGTCTATCATGCTCACTTGCTCTCAGGAGATGGGGCTTGGCTAGAGACAGCCTGGGGACTTGATCTGAACGAGTATACTTCTCCCTCCCTGGCTCCTCCCTGCTCTTGTGCTTCTTGGAAGCCCTGGTAACACAAACGGCATGGTACTGGTGCAACACTAGACAGGTAGAACAGTGTAATCCAATAGAAGACGCAGAAGCAAACCCAAGCCACCATACCTAGCTGATTCTAGGCAACAGAGGCAGAAACATAATACCCTGGAGAAGAGACAGGCTCTTCAACAAATGGTGCTGAGAACACTGAATAGCCACTTGCAGAAGTTTGAGCCTAGATCCTTATCTCTCCTTCTATACAAAAATCAAGTCAAAATGAATCAAATACCTGGAACTTTGAAACTGCTAAAAGAAGACTCTGGGGGAACACTTAAAGCCTGGGCACAGGTAATGACTTCCTGAAAAGAGCTCTAACTGCCCAGGGAATAACTGTAAAATTAACAAAGGGGATTACAAAAAGGTAAAAAGCTTCTGCACGGGAAGGGAAACAATTAACAGACTGAAGAGACAGCCTACCAAATAGGAGACTGTGTTTGCTAGCTACTCTTCAAGAATATATAAAGAACTCAAAAAACTTAACTCAATGGGTAAATGAATTAAACACCACGTCTCAAAAGAGGAAGCATAATAAAGGGTCCATAAGGATGTGGAAAACGCTCCACATCTTTATTCATCAGGGAAGTGCAAATCAAAAAATGCACTGAGAGTCTATCTTACCCTAGTCAGAATGGCTGTCATTGAACACACACACAGGGAGGGTGAGGGGCAGTTGAGGGGCTGAGGATGAGGGGCCGTTTAGGGTGGGGTGGGCAGGAGCCTTCTAGACTGCTGGTGGGAATGTAAATTAGTGTAGCCACTAAGAAAATCAGCATGGAGGTTCCTCAAAAAATTAAAAATAGAGTTATCATTTGTTCCAATTATATCATTTGTTAGTACATACCTAAAAACATTAAAGTCAGCATACTGTAGGGATACTTGTATACTGATGTTTATTGCAGCATAATAGGCAACTAACCTAGGAGATCAACAAATGAATGGATAAAGAAAATGTACAATGTTTCTCCTTTGAGGGTATGAAATTATTATGGAAACACTCATGCAATTCTGAATACACCAAAAAATACACCAAAAAACTTTTAGTGTACACTTTCAATGAACAAATTGCATGGTATGTGATCTATAGCTTAAACTACTATGAAGTTTTCAAAGAAACAGAAAAGATCCAAACAATAAAAAATCAATAAACCAAAATTTCTTTTAAAAATAGCAGATACATGAGCAAACTTCTAGTCTGACTCATCAAGAAGAGAGAAGAAAGACATAAATTATCGATACAGAAATTAAAGAGATGGGGGCTAGTGATTTAGCTCAGCAGCACAAGCACCTGCCTGGCAGGCACAGGTCATGAGTTTGATCCCCAGTACAAAAAAAAAGAGAGAGAAACACTGTCACAGGAATCAAAAGGATGATAAAGGAATATTTTAGACACATAGTCCAATAAACGTGGCAATTTAGATAAAAGAGATCAATTCCTTGATAGTAAAAATTATAAAACCTAAACTGGTAAAATAAATATTTTAAAATATGAATAATTATATTGATTAAATAAATTGA